CCCACCTCTTTTTTTAAGGAAAGAAGTCTGAATTTTTTGGTGGTAGAAATACCTGGAAACTATTTCCTTAGCGTACTCCAAAGGCTCAGATAGCAGAAGACAAATATAAGAAACACAACTTTATTTGGAGGCTTTTATCTTATGCATTTGAAGCAGATTTCCTGATTGTTTGAAAACTCAGACATCATCTGTGAAGACTCAGGGTTACCAATACTATTAGCATATCCACTGAAGAGTTTCAGCTGATAAAGTTGTAAGTGGTGTGCTCTCTGGTGTGCTCTCTCAAGGGAAAGTCAGGCTCGGGAGATGAGGTTTGACTTCATTTACTCCATGTGACCTTAGATTGCTGCTTAAAACAGTCTGTTCTTTGTTTCTCCAGCTGTCAAATGAAGATAATGATTCTTACCCATTCTTAGGACAGCACTTTGAAATTTATAAATGAAAATATTATTTATATTCAAGAGGTTCCCAGACAAGGAAAATGAATGATTTCCATACATGCAATATATTTCTTCCTTGCATCATTCCAGTCTGGAATGTCATGTCTAGTTTCTGGCACTCAAACGTGGTGAGGACTGCATGAGAAACAAGTACTTACAATGATTTTATACATATACAGTCCCTCTCTGCAGCAGGCCTTTGTATGTAGTTTTCTGTATATACCCACATATATGTGCATGTATGTGTGTGTGTAATGGACACACAGAAGACACTTGAAGTGAATGTGAATCATTTCATGTTCATGAGGCTGACTGCCTTTGTAGTGCTCAGATAGCAAAGCTGATAAACATTTTGTGTGATTTTAAAAGGCCAAAAACTATCAGTCTGTTGCCTAGCAAAATATATACGTTAAAAATACTACTAGTTAAAAAGATGATGTAATACTTGTCACAGGAGGATGACAATGCACTTCCCTAATACAATATTAAACTAAGGTCCAGTCTGCATAATTTTGGTTTCTAAATAGGGATAAAAAACCCCAGTGGATCTATCTGAAAGGGTGATCAGCTGCCTGGGGAGCTCCAGGGAAAAGCTCTTTCTTTTTCAAGATCAGACCGTTGCACTGGGAAAGCGCCTCTGTGAGAGTCTAATACCCAAGATAACAAGAGATCTGTTGCCCCCTGCAACATGGCAACTACACCTCCTTCCCCAGCCAATGGACCAGAGTGGAAACTCACCTCTGCCCTGTGCTTAAGTTAGCTCTTCTGTCTTGTGGGGGCTGAACAAGAGTAACAGGAGAAGTGTACACTGAAAATCGCTGCTAAATACACCAGACGGAGAGCCAAAGCAACTCACATCCCCGATCAGTAATTTATAACAAAGTCTGCACAGCGTGGAGAACCAATTGTTTGAAATCAATAGAGATTTAATGATCTGTGAAGGTAAAACAAACCATTCTGCCAAAAAGCAGAAGGTGCTAACAAAACCTTCTGAGTGCTGGAGTTCTGGGGGAGGTGATGAGCATCCTGCAATGGGTGCATGGGGACTGCCGGGGGGCTCAGTGCAGGAGCCCTCTTTGACCAACACCTCCAGTCACTGCTGAGTGTCTGCAGCGTCAGGGGGTGGCAGGTCTGTCTGCCTGAGGATCTGAACATTTTTCCTGACTGAAGTGGTGATCATCCACCTCCTGATGGAAGTCCTGGGCCTGGATAAGGAGAGAGGGGAAGATGCTACATGAAGAGGGTGTGGCAGGGAAACCGTCTGAAAGCAACTGTTCCAGGGAGGCTTTAATAGGCTTAAACCCTGCACAAAACTGATCTAAACACCATTTCTAGCAGATCCAAATAGTCTCCCCAACACTACAGCTTAGGAATCAGAGACTGCAGCTTAGGAATACTGACTGATTTCTTGTTTACGCTGTGTAATGTTTCACTGCTCTGGCCAGGCAGAGGTGAGACTGTAAGATATTTAGCACTAAAGTCATTATGAGGCCCTGAGGTCTACTTCAGGAATTATCTGGGCTTTGGCCAAACACTACATTAGACAGTGGGGCATATTTATTACTAAGTGTCTTGTAACACCCTATCTCTTTTTAAGGTTTCTAAGTCCACAAAAGTAGAAAGAGACAGACCCACTAAACCATCCAGTCCATCTCCTGTCCAGAGCAGGATTGCTCTCTTGAGTGCATTCACTTGTGCTCTGCCAACATAGTTTTAAATGCATCAAGAGATGCATCATTTAATTTATGAGAGTAATCAATACCCTAAAAGACCTGTCAATAAATTTTCATTCTTTTTTTCATTTTTTTGTCATTACAAATATCATCCTGTTGCAAGTTATGCCCACTGGTGTTACTAACCCTTCTGACATACACAGATGTCTATTGGAACTTCCCCTGTTCATTGCTAAGCCAATACTTACACCTTTAGGGCCAGACTTTTACACACTTGCACATAATATTTTGCTTTGTAAGTAGGCCTGTTAAAATGTAGGGGAAAAGGATGGAATAAAAATTAAAGTGCTACTCCATGGGAATAAAAGGTGCCCCAATCCACCCCTAAACTATTTTAATCTTTCCATAAAGTCAGCCCAGACAATCCCTTAGACACTATTGTTGCTCTCCACTGAACCTGCCCTTTTAGATGCTAATAAGGTACCCAGGAGTGAATTTAGTATTCCTAGTGTGGTCACACCAAAGCCATATGGAGTGGAATCTTTTCTTCCCTTTTCTAGGAGGTGATGTCTTTGAATTTGCAGCCAAAAATTTCCCTTTCTCTTTTTTTTTTTTCTCAGTCACATTTAATACACTCTCTACTATCACCCTCAGGCTTCTTTCAGCATTACTTTCCTCATTTTCCCTTCTGAGGAATAACTGAGTTTTGGATTATTTTCCCTAGATGTCTACGCTCAAATTTCTTCAAGTTGAGAGTCCTTCTGTTATTTTCTTCCCATAGGTCATATCATATGTCATCAGCTATTAAGTACAATTCTAAATGTGGATTATAAGTTATGGATTTCATTTTCATTGATTTTCAAGAGGGAGGAAGGAATTTAAAATTACCAACATGGTTGAATTTAAATTCCACCTTTCTCATCAACAGCAGAAATAATGGCAATTTTATTCATTACAGCTTAATGTATAATATGTTATTTAAGTTCAAATATTTTCACAAATACACAGCTGGGAAATTGAGAATCTTCTCCTCAGTAATCCAGAAAGTAAATACTTTAAACTTTTATTCATAGCTAAATGAGAATTAGAAGATGGCATATTTAGGGTGTACAATAATTAAGTCTCAAGGAAAACAAGTGTGGGAGTACTCTTTAAGATGGGTGTAAGATTGACTGGGAGAAAACTGTAATTTAGTAATTACAATTCATTCTCAACTCAGAATGCTATATTTGGCTATGTTATATGTAAATGATTTTAAACTAAATTTGCCACTGATGTAAACTGAAAAATTAATCCAACTGAACTATGCATTCTTTAATGGGTGAAGCAATTTTGTCCTGTTCTTGAAAAAGTTAAAATAACATACAAAGATGCTGTCAGTTACAAAAGTGCTGCAGAAAAAGAAAGTGTCTGTTACACATGGAAAAATTCTCCACTCAGTTGTACCTAGAGGGAAAATTCATTAAAGTTGTCCTTGTGAAGTTGAACACAGTTTGTTGCTTTGCCTGGATATATTGAAAGACAAATAATCCATGTTTCAGCTCCATTTTAGAAAGCAGAGGAGTTCCTGGCATCAAAATTTCCTCTGCTTCAGATTAATTCATCAGACTGGATTGCATTTTCTAATGTAATCAAACTGATACGTGTCCTAAGTTCCTGTGCAAAGGCATTGCATGAAGATGGAAGGGTGTAAATTCACTTGAAAGAGGCTACAGAATTAACTGTGTATCAGCAGGCAAACCACACCGTCACTGTTTATAATCTCTGCGAGCACATCGCTCGGTAGGGAGCATTTTCCAGCATTAAGAATCAAATATGTGTGTGTGGCAGGGGAGGAAAAAAAAAAAAAAAGAAGCTAGAAAAGGTATGGGATATTTGAAATGGTTAATTGATGTCAGTTCTGCTTGAGCATTTTGTGAAATAAATATTTATACCTTAGTGGATGGTGCTGTTAATTGCTTGGCATTCCTATGCTAAAATAACTAAAATAAATCCAGAATTTACAAGGAAATTGCACTGTTACACTTAGATCCTACTAGACCTTGGTAATTTTTTGGTGCAAAATTTTTCGCCAAAATGTCTGGGTTTGTGTGAAATGATTTTAAACTGCCAGTCTTCATGGATCTTTTTCTTCTACAGAGAGCAAAACAGACACAATATCTGAATCCTTCTGAATATGGCTCTTCAAAAAGTTAATTCAAGTCCAAATGTTCTTCTGTAGCCATAGTGAATAGACAGAATTTGGCATAAATTTTCTCAAAACTGTTCTGGTTACCTTCAGCAGTTGTAACAGGGGATTTCAAGCGAGCTACTCTGTCTCCATGACAGGAAGACCCATCCCTTTCTTCTTCAGCTGTTGCTAAAGCTGGTATTCCCCAGACAGACAGAGAGATTTGATTATAAGAGTTTTCACTGTTCCAGATAAATTTGCTTTCTGGGTTGATCCAGCTCATCTCACACCCCCATTTTACAAAAGCTTAAGACAAAACATGTAAGATTTTTCTCAGACTTAGCTTTCTTTGTCTCAAGAGTCTTCAGCATTTCATGGGCTATCCCTGTATCCTCAGCCAAGTGCTCTGCTGGGGTTCATGACCGTGGACCATGACAGTGCTGTGTTTGAGAGGACCTGGTGTGACCTTGTCACAACCAAATCCATTCAAATCCAAACTCAAATCCATTCCAGGCCCAAGTGGAGTGGTAGGGGGAGAGTTGTTCCTTTGCCCCAGCTATCCTGGGCAGGTGTCGTGTGTGACTGCATTGGGGACCACCTTGATGGGGATGGAGGCACCTTGCTGGCCATGGAGGGACACACAAGGGGCTGTATCTACAGTACTTTTGACACTGTAATTTAGCTTTCTTCCAGGGAAGTTACTTGAGATGTGCTGAAAAGAGCTGACCATCAACAGGTATTTTATTCTAAGATTCCCACCAAAGGTTTTCCTCCTTCCCCAGATCTTTCTGTTGAGGAGGCCTCACACAGACGTCTGGGTGAAGACTTAAACCAGACCCAGTTTCGAAAGTGAATATCGTTTTCTTTTTCTGGAAGCACAGCCAGAGTCTGAGATGATGATACTGCTCCAAAAATTGCAGTTCCTGAGTTAATTAGCTCACATGGCTTGAGGTTTGTAACACTGACCATTACAGAAAGCCTGATAACAAAGGGCAATGATAAAACACAAACACTTTAAATTAGCACAAGCTATGCAGGAACAGAATCACTAGGATGCCGTGTCTCAGTTTTAAGGAAATTCTCCCAGAGATGGGAGGTACTACAGTCTGTCCTTTAATTTGCCCTGCTGTGTCTGATTCTTCCTCTTTCATATGCCAACTTCAATTCCTTTCCAGGAATATAGACAATTTTGCATATTCAAAACTTCTGGAAAAATATCCAAACCTTTTGATATTTATCCAGACCAGATCTAACACACAGGCTTCCAAGCAGTGATGAACCTAGTAACCAATACAGCTAAGTAATAATGAACAAGAATAATTTAAAAATGTATGACAATAATAAAACTTTAATCCTAAAATAAAGTTCCAAACTTGAGCTGGGAAAATGGAAAGACCATTTAAAATCCAAATGTGGGTTCTGTAATAAGAATCCCCTATGCCACTCTTTAGCAATGGCTCCAGAAAGCATGGCAGCATCCAAAACTCTGTAGAACTTTGTCTGAGTTTGTATTTTCTAAGGTATTTGGCAGAAGTCTCCTTGAAAGACAAGCCTTGGGCTTGGAAACATGGGTGAGTGCTACCATGGCCATCGTGGATGGGTGAGCACAGGAGAAAGGCCTGACGGGAATGGGCACACCTGGAACAGCGGGATTTAGGGTAAAACAGCAGCAGGGGTGGCACTTGCAGAACAGGGATAGCAGCCTCTGGGTGCAGCCTCCATGGCTGGTGCAAGCTTGGCTGTGCCTCAGCAGCTGGTGCTGTGGCTGGTAGCAGAGCGCTACCAGGAGCCCGCAGGCGTTTGTTCCACTGGTGTGGGCTGGGCTGGGTACCCAGCTGGGAGGAGTGGGAGTTACTTGCTGGGGGCTGTGGCAGGGCCCACAGTCACACTTGCATTTATAGATCTGAGTGGCAGCGGCTGGGAGTGCAGCACTGAACTCTCCCATTTGCCTTTCACACTCATTTGCTCCCCTACATAAGAAGGGGGCTTTGGCATCAATTACCCCTCTAGGACAGAAGTAATAGTGGGTAGCCTGTACCCAGCTCTCAGCCACAGCAGGCTGTGCCTCATTGTCTATTCAGTTCAAGCCACCAAGCAGGGAGGGTTCCTGCTAAGGTGCCAGACTGGCAGTGGCTAAATTATAATGGCTGAGGCTCAGACACCAGTTCCCTCCTGTCGACTTTGTTGTCAGGAGATGGTAGCCTGGCAGATGGGTGGTAACAAACAGCTGGAAGGTAATAACAACATTTACTCAATGAATGAGAATGAGAACCCTGTTTCATTTAAGGTTACTCTCTGTTGGCGTCAATACAATGCCATAAGGCAGTGAATCCTGTGTTGGTTTCAGACCTGATCTGGGGAAGAGAAGCTTGCACAGTCCATACTGAAATATCATTGAAGTTTAACATCTTGCTTGCACCGGACAACTTACATGTAGAGAGCCCTGAATCTCATCAACTGCATTTTTTATGTTTCTCATCATCCCATCCATCTTGGGGTCATGAGTTACTCAAAATGTTAGCTGACAAAAAGGAATACCAAGATTTAGTTAATCAGTTCAAACAAATTATTGAAAGGCTTTTTGATCTAACAAAATTTTTAGAGTTGTGTATAAGACCTGTTAGACGGGTAAGACCTGTTAGATGAGTACAGCTCTCTGGACACTTTCCCTGTCAATACTTTGACCTTGAAAAGTGCAATAGGGCAAAGGATTTTAAGCACGTGCTCAAATTTCAAGACAGTCCAAGAGAGCTAAGAAAATGCTTAAATGTTGCTGTAAATACATGGTCTGGCATAATTCTACAGCCTCAGCTTTATTCACACAGTCTGATTGGAGGCAGATTGATTTTGTCCTGCCGTGTTCATGAAAAAAGGCTTAATTTTGAAAATACAGTGGTAGCAGTATGAATGGAGTCCTGGGGTTACCTGGAGACAGGTACAAACAAATTGAACGCATTGAAAATAATTTCTGTGACAATCGATTGCCCTTCGGAGTGGAAGACATCGTTATTAAAAGACATGGAAGCTTCCAGGAACAGAAAATAGCTATACATTCATATGTGTATATATAGCACAGCAATGAGCCATATAATTTTTAACCTGATGTGTGGAAATATTGGGATGTTCAGCCCAGAGACTTTGGGCTGACTCCTTGGCAAATCAGTGGAGCCTATTCCTTGATGTTGTGTCAGTCCTTGAGTCTGAGTCTTGAGTTTGGGCCCAGAGAATACTAAGGGATAGAGCGCAGACTTATAGAGACAGGATGAGGCTTTCTGCTCATAGAGAAGAACCCAAGCTATTCCATACCCACAGGCAGAGCTCTCATGAAACCTTAGGAATCCTTTGGGAGGAATGAGAGAGAAAGAAAAAATTCAGATAGGCAACTTGGTTTTAGAGAGGCCTTTTTTCCTAACTACACCAGCCACTGCCTCCTCTGGCACCAATGTCATGGTAGTGCCACCAGAGAAGAGGTTTTTGTGCAAGTTTAGTGCTGCCTGCACTTTTCCAACAAGAAAAGTGTTTTTTTCTGGCTGCATGTTAAATAAAGATTGTAAGCATATCAGGCAAAGTTGTGTGTATTTCCAGAAAGATTATTTGTAAGCCTGCAACAGATCTTCATCTTGCCTAGCCTCTGTAAATTTAAGTGCCTAAGTACCGAAGTACTGAACTATTCTATTTTCCCCAGTAATGCAAGTCAGTTAAAATGATTCAATGTGTTTGTCTTCCTTTAACCAGCTGCAAGCTTCAAGAAGAACACAATTGATATTCCTCTGGATGCAAAATCATATAATGTAATTTAGTGGCTAAATACTGATATGTGTTTATTAGGAACCTATTTCTTGCTATTTTTTTTTTTTTTTTTTGCCATAATATCTTCAGGTATCCAAAATCTTTCTTGACATTTCTCCACTTTGTGCAACCAGCTGAATCAGGCAGAGGTGAAGTTGCCCTGTGCACATTTCTATTAGTTTGGCAAAAGCGCTCAAAATCCACCACTCTTTTTTTTTCTGGCTCACGTTTCATTCCCTTCCTGAGCTGACCTTATGGAGACGTCTGTTTAAGTGAGCCTGAGCCAACGCAACACCAGGCAACAGACGGAAAATCTTGGTTTAATTGAGTCACCATGCCAAGCACACGGGGAGCCTGGTGACGCTGACAGAGTGCTGTGCAGTGCTTTGGAGGGTTGGCAGCTCCACCAGCCCCAGACAGGCTGGGCCCCGATGAACTCGCTGACCCTGAGGTTCAGAGCCACCCTGCGTGCGAGCAATGGGATGCAGAGGTTCTGCTGTGCGAGAGGCATCCAGGCATCTGCCACATGCCCGGCGGAGACGATGCGTCCCACAGCCCTGCGACTGCTCAGGGGCAACAGCTGGCTGTGTGTGAAGCAGAAATTCTCCAAGAAAGAGCAGTACCCCCTGCCTGAAACTGAGTGCGTGTTTGGGACGGGGGCAGTAGATTTCCATTAAATGGGAGCGTGTATCACTCAAACGCAGAGGCTTGGCAGGTCTCCAGGGGCAGAGCCTCAGAAGTTACAAACCAAACTCTGCCAGAGCCCTGGGGGAGCTCTTTTTGAGAAAACAGTGAACAATCAGCCCCAAATCCCAGGAAGACTGTTATCCCCTCTGGAGGCAAACCAAAGAAAATGTTCACACCAGCTCTTCTGCATAAAAACAGGGTTTTGGTGTTATTTTACTGCCAGCGTAGTCGGTTGCCTGCCTGGAAAAGTTGATGCAGAGGGAGCTCTGCATCTTTGCTTTCTCATGTAAATTTTGTTTCCAGAGTTGTGGTGATAATGGGAACATCTTCAAAATCTCTGCTGAAACCAAGGGCCATATAGGCAGAAATTCAGCACAGCTGTGCCTAGTAAACAGTATTTAATAAGACTCCATGAAGTGGGATCTTTTTATAAGTGATCCTGCAGTCATGTATGGGACTCATTTGGAGAACAAGATGCAGGCCATGTGTGGTCTCCCAGCACTCACCATTGACATGGTAGATTTTGTGATCTCCTGTACATTCCTGATATTTTTTTTCCTTGCCTTAGGCTTCTCCCATTTGTTCACTACATATGCAAACATAGCCTCCTAGACCAAAGTGCTGTCTCTCCTGATTACTGGCAATTTTGCCAATGACTTTTGTGGGACTGAGATTTAATAATAGCTGCTTGAAATATTTTCATGCCTGTTGTATAAAATAATTTCATACTCTGTAGACTCTCTTGCTTTGATATATTGGAAAATGAGCAACATTTACCGTCTCTGACAATTAAGAGTGCCACATTTTCTAGGTATGGTCTAAAGTGAGCATGCAGGCTGTAATTAAAAAAACTCCATGATGCACTGATCACCAAAGAGGCATTTGTTTATTCTGCCTGCAGTGCAAGTTTGCCATTATATTATACGTCTATCTATAATTACATTAATATAAATAAAGCTGGAGTGCTTGTGCTTTACCCAGCTGAGGGCTACACTTGAGTTTTAGCAGAGCCAGAGGGATGAATCTAATTTGTTTAACAGATCAGTCAGATTGCAACTGGCCTTGTGAAACAAAGGTGATGACCAGAGAGGCCAAAAAGAACCGGCCACCTACGGGCTCGGATCAAATGGGACCTTCTGCGTGGGGCCCTGCAGAGCACTGATGGCACCCGCACTTCAAAGGCAACCCACAGAAGAAAAGTGAGCCCGTGACCTTTGGTTCTTCACAACAAACAAAGATCAAGAGGTGGCTGATGGGCTTTCTTAACTCCATTTGATATTACACTGGGAATACACAAGCCATTAGGCCCTGCACTGGTTGGATTTGCTGTTTATCTGTTTTGACTAGAAGCTTTCCTGAAGGAATCACTCTGGATTTGGAGTTTCTCAAGTGCTCAGAAGAGCTAGGTGTGACTGGGAAGGGCTTCCTTGGTAGGGCACATACATTCAGCAGTGTGCAGCACAGTTCTGGACCTGTGCACCAGTGAAACAAGTTGGGCCAGTAAAGCACAGCCCTGCTGGCGTGTCTGGCCCCGGAGTATCAGGCTTGGAGGGAGGCTGGCTCTCCGACCGGTTTCATGTCCCTGATGGACACTGCTGAGTCAATAGAGCTCTGCTGGGTGGACCTGGCCAAAGTAATTTTGCCGTTCTCCTGGAAGGCATTTGAGTTACACAGCTAATGACAAAACCAAAAAAAAGCAGCAAATATAAATGCTCTGATTAAGAAATCCCTGCTCCTGTGTTTGCTGCACTTGCCTACATGTGACATTATAATACTCTCTGTGACATTATAATACTGCCAGTTCTCTGATGTCCACCGAGTATTTTGGGGAGCAGAAGTGGTAAGACTCAAGTTTCTAAGGCAAGTATAAAAGAGATCTATAAATATGTCTGAACTCAAGAATTATAAACTATAAATGGAAAAATAGGCAAAAGACTACTGCAATTTTTCTCCTCTGGCATCTTCAGCAATACCAGGGGAGAACAGCTTTACCACATGCTGGGGCCATCCACACTGTGGGCACCAGTCCAGACCCCAGCTGTACATCAGTTTTGTTCTGACCTAGATGGGGTGCCAGTTCTGCCTGTCTGCAGGAGAAGCTGTATTTCTATTTGTAATTCCCTCAGCCTTGCTCACCCACTGCTCATGGTCCTGATCTTCCACTTTTCCTTCATCTTCACAACTACTGCAGTACCCCAGCCCTGAGCAGGTGTTGGTCCTGGAGAACTCACTCCATTGGTGGCAAAGCAGTGAGGGAAAGCACAAGGAAGAAGAATATTCACAGCCCGAATCAGCACACCCTTCTTGCTCACTGTCCATTGCACAAACCCCTGCTGGAGGATGATGCAGGGGTAAGACTGAGTGCTCAGCAAGGACAGGGGGCTAGGGCTGCTGAGGATACAGCCCAGCAAAGAAATCCAGAGGAAGCTGCAGCCTCAGCTCTCTCAGAGAGTAGCATGTAAGGGCACACAATCACGCCAGCCAGGAGTGCTGCTCGTTTTCACATGAGCAGCCACTTTTGGGGTCAGTTTTCTCATAGTTTTCCCTATGGCAATAGCAGCAAATGCATCCTGAGTGGCAAGGAGCTGCTACAGAATTAGTTGCTGTCTCTTGATGAAAATACTAATGTGTGACCTGCATACTATGGAGGAATTGGCAATTTTACATCATTACTGGGGAAAAACATGGCAAAGATTAACTTGTCTCACTGTAGTGCTGGTGTCTCCTGCAGCAGAAAAGGAAGAAAAGGCTTGACACCACACTGAATCCACTTTTGTCTTAGCAGGGTACTGGCTGCATCTGTTTGAAAGGCTTGTATTGTATCAGTGCTCTTTGTTATCAGGTTTCCCATGGTGGTCAGTGTTACATATCTTACATTGTTTGAGCTAATTAAGCCGGGGAATCAGGGAAAGCACATTTCCGGCGGGGATTTATTGCCAAAAGATATTTCAGCTGAAGGGGGAAAAAAGGAAATCTCCCTTTATGTCCAGCATTCCTGAGCTGTTTCATAATATTCAATGTTCAGCTTCATGGAAATAAACTGACAATAACGTCAAGAACTTTGAACTTGAGCAGTTTTCCTCTGTTTTGTTGAATTTAAAAGCACCGTAAAGAAAACTAGGGATCTGTGCAGCCACAAAAATAAAAATGCTTGAATCGCCATGGTTGGAAACATGTTTGTTAATAATTTACAGTCAAATGACTGTTTGCTCTCCAGGTGTTTTGTGCCAAAAAATAGAGTATTATTTTCACCTGCTTTTATGCTTCTTTACCAGAGAAGTGCAAGCGGCAGCCTTTCACATCTTCACAGGAATCCATTTGTGAGATGCCAGCAGGGGCAGAGGGACCTGGTTCCCTCCTGTCTGCACCCAGCACTGAAGGGGTGCTCAGAGCACCTGGCAGTAGGAGGGCTGAGCCCTGTCTGTGTGCCTGGCACGACAGAGCTGAAGCACCTTTTACAGCACCTTCAGCTGCCCAGCAAGTGCTGCCCGTGGGGCAGAGCCTGGGCTGCAGCCTGGTTGTCAGCCCTGGAGAAAGGGGAAGCTCTGCTCTTACGTATGGGATGTCATACACAGGTTCATTGTTAGGAAATCCTGTGTGTGTGTGTGTCTGTGTGTGAACAAAGCCCTGCTTTTCTTCCAGATGGTATTAATAATCATTGTCAGTGGGACTGGTGATGATGACAGTTTGTTCATTTTCACCAGGAGGTCTAAAAGGCTTAGCTGAAAGAAGTGAGGATGATGATCCTCTGCCTGCCAAGGTACACCAACAGCAACCAGGGATCACTGTGGATGACTAAAGGCATTGAGTGTTTTGGATGAGAAGGTCCTGTTTTCAGTTTTGTGTAACTTTTGTTAAGCTCTGATGGTTCAGCATGTCTTCTCAAGCATGGTTTGTTGGCTGTTTTGTTTGTTTGTTGGGTTTTGTTCTGTTTTTTCATTTGTTTAGTTGTTGTTATTGGGGTTTGTTTGGGTGTTTTTTAAATTTTTCTTATATTGGTAGTTTCAGCTGAAACATTTCAGCTCTCCCAAACATAATGAAAGAAAAGGATTTTCACCCATGGGAAAAGAAAAAGCTGGCAACTTTATCTTTAGAAAGCACTGGCAGTGTCCCTCATCTGAAGATGGAACTGAAGCCTGATACTATTGAAAGTCTGGTACTCCTGAAAGTCTGGCACCATTGTATTGTCAGTGAAAGAAAATTTACTTTACATTTACTAAAATTTGATTTCTAGCATTTGCTAGGTCTCACATGCTCACCACAGAGGAGTTTTTTAGCCAAACTCCCCTGATATTTGGCCTGCAATGAGCAGGCTATAATGTGACTTGTCATTGCAGCCAGTTAATCCTTTAGGTCAAGTGAGAAGAGTCTTGAATAGAAGAGATTCCAACTACTGATGGCACATCTTGGTGTCAGTGAAACTGAAGACAACACTTCAGTTTTTCCTAAATTTTTTTAAACAGGAAATTACATGCCCAAACTGTTAAAACAATTGAGTTGTGATTGAAAAATCAGAGACTCAAAGTCAAATAGTAAGAATTTCACAATTAAGGTTTTCTTCATAATCCCACACCAGTCCCTTTGAGAAGATTTTATTATTATGATCCATCTTTAATTAAATGATGATGCTAATTCCTTTCCCTAAGTCCCCATGCTCATGTAGTGCAGAGGGTGTCCGTGCTGTTAAAATTAATGAAGACTGTATTGTAAAGAAAGTCCTTGGCTGTAGGGTCCTCACCCCAAGTGCTCCTGCAGCTGGAAAACAAAAATGTGCAGCCCATGAGGCAGCAGGTTACAAGAAGGGAGAGGATTACCTGGTGTCTTAGGAGTCTGACTGTGGGATGGCACATCTGCTCTTGCCACCACATCTGGATGTGGCGCTGACTAAGTCACTTACAGCAGGCTTTTCACTGGTGGATATAAAATGCAAAGCTGTCTCTTACAGGGTGCCTACTTTTGCTCTTCCCAGGCAAGACACTGGGCAAAGCAGCACTGAGAGAAAGGATCCTCACCAGGATCAGCAGGCCAGAGCTCAGTGCTCAGTTTCCCTCTGTTTTTTTCCTGAAAGCAAATGAGCTGGGCCAAAGTGCAGAGAGTGTCGATACCAAGCTCGCATTCAGATAAGTGGGACACGTATAACACACTTTGGTGGGGAGAAACCTGCTCTGGTGCATGCAGTAAACCTTGGGAGGGAAGGAGGTGGGGAAAAGGTGGTGTGGAGCTTGCTGCAAAGTTTCCTTCTACCATCACACCGATACACTGATCGCACGGATAGGCCCTTCGATTGACCTGCTGAGCTCACAGAAAATAAAAGAAAAGCCCTCCAAAAATGTCCCTGGAGGTCAGAAGGACTATGAGTGCTATGTAAGCAGCACAAAGTCTGAAATCAACCTCTAAAAAAGCATCTCTGAGCAGATCATCTTCTCTCACCTCTTTTCCACTATGAGGAAAACAAGAGGAAGGGGACTGAGGGAAAGAACACTGAATACTTTCTTTGTTCCACAGAAGCTCAGGTGCTGAACTGGTTGCAAATTTTCTTATGTGCAAAAAGGAGCACCTAATGTTTTTGGGCTGTTTCTCCCCTCGATCTCCAGTCCCCAATCCTATTATATTGCAGTCCACTGAGATTCAGGTGACAGGTGCTGGACACTTGGAGAATGAGTAGCAAAGGCAGCAATGCTGCTTTCTCTCAGCGGCATGAGGATGAGCAAGAAAATAGGGTCCTTATTGACTCTCCATTGTGGCCATCTGAGTGCCCAGAGCAGAGCAATCTCCTGGGCTGAGAGCAGACAAGGAGCAGCAGCAGCAGCAGCATAGGGTTTTCCTGAGGCCATGGATTGAGACGGAGCTGCTGCAGCCTTAATAGACACTGCAACAGCCATGGCAAACGTGACCTGCTCTATTATTGAATTGTGTGGTGCTGTTTTGCTTTTCCTTTAATATTGGTAATTATGCAATTTCTAGACAACTTCCCTGTCATAACCAGGGCAGCAATGCTGACAAAACAAGCTTTAAATAAGCACTTGTCAAAGTAACAGCTATTTTTGCTTGCCCTATTTAGCACTGTGTTTAAGGTCTACAGTGGAAATCTCAGACAATTTTAAATACATGGTGCAGTTACTTTATCATTGCATCAAAATATTCAAAATCCCTAAAGCCTGGAAAACAAAAGTGTTCTGACAGCACCTTTTGGTGGTTCCTGTCTTCACGGGAAGGTCAAAGCTTTTGCAGGACCTGCTTGAGAGCCAGGAAGCGCAGAAAAGCTTAGGGTACAGGAGCCCTTCTTTCAGGCTCTAAGGATTACTGGGCAGAGAAGATTCAATATCCTGCTTTTCCCATCTCTGAGACCTCTGGAACGCTCTCTACAGGAAAAGAAAGAACAAAAATAACACTGCAAGACTTAGCAGTCCTGCTGTTCCCCAGGTAAGAGGGAAACAGGAAGTACTCTCAAAGCCTCTTTGCTCATAATTAAGAAAACACAAGAAATCCTTCTTCCTTGCCTTCATGAGCCCTATTTGGGGCTATGGACTCCAGGCTCTTCAGGCACTGGGCTGCTTTGCTTGCCCAACGCTGGAGCAGAGGGCAGAGGTACAACCACAGCACCCAGCAAGTGGTTTCTTACCCAAGGTGCTGTAAAGGGGCATCTGCAGAGCCCCTCCAGCCATGCAGCAGAGCAGGGACGTGCACAGCCCAAAACTCACTCTTCAGGTAGGGAAAAGGAGGTTAGACAGGCAGTGACACAAGTGTGACAGTCATGGAGGAGTGCTTCCTTTAGGAAATAAAGTCACCAGCCAAGCACAAAAGGATTGCATAGTATCACGTGGGAGCTGTTGAATATTGGTTTATTTAGGCTATTCTCTATTTTTTGCCCCTCTGTCTCCAGACTATGGACTTCCTAGCCTGTGTGTTCCTGGGACGTTTGTGATCCATTTACAGAGTTTCTGGAGCTCTGCTGGGACAGCTGCCTCACAGTTACCTTAAAAAAGTTTTGTGGAGGAGGAGAAGTGTTTTGAAAGATCTTTGCTGCGCTTATGAAAGGGACAACAGAAGCAAAAGTGTTTGGGGGTCCTGTGTTTTGAGCAACACCCTTGCTTTCCTCTCATTCACATCTCTACCAGCGGATGCCAGAGAGACAGCCAAATCAAACATAACACATGGGAAATGGTCTGTAAGCCCAAAACAAAAGAGGTTTTCTTTTATCAGCTGTTTCCTGAGTCAAAAAATAAATTATTCTATAACAGTGTATTTATTAGTGCACTATGCATAGAAACAAGGTAAATTATTTAATTTTTGAGCAGAATTTAATTTATTAAAATAATCCTGATATTAAAATAATATCTTCTATGCCTATTTATCCCCATTGCGTTCCCTCTCTTCTCTGGTGCAGGGAAGAAAAGAAAAATAGTAGCTAAGCAGGTTAGGCAAAAAAAAAAAATGCTTTAAATTATCGTAATTTAATGGCACCTGCCTTATTCCAGGGAGCCAGTTCTGCTGTGCTGCTGGGAGCATGCAGAGAGGCGGGTGAGGATGCAGGCTGACCCCGCGTTCCCAGAAATCCCCGGCTGCTTTTCTGTGGCTCTCTATCTCCTGACTCCTGAATGAGCTCCTGCAGCACCGGTCACCCACTGCTCCGGAGGGTGAGCTAAGGAGCCGAAAATAGCCTCTTTTCTGATAATGCAGGGCTCCGCTCATGAAGGCGGCATTCTGGCATCCCAGATAAGATGTACACAGTCTCCTCCGGTTGCGTTTGCAGCCTCCCGAGCCTTTCCCGGCCCGACTGAAGGGCTCACGCCGTGCTTTTCCTTACACGCCGCTGCCGCTGGAAGCGCCGCGCCGGGAGATGCTGCTGGGGGGCCGGGGCTGCCTCGCTCGGAGCAGAGCTGGAAAAAGAGACCAGAGCTGTGCTACGGAGCACTTGAGAGCCACGAGGGGTGGACGGGCCCCAGGGGAAGGCAAGGGTGTTTCCGAGCGCTGGGGCAGGGCCATGGGAAGCAGCTCCCGCTGCCCCGCCTGCAGGCGCAGACTTCACGGCAGCTGCGGAGGACAGCCAGAGAGCTTCGAGAAAAGGGAATAGTGCCCTGAAAGTGTGGGGGAAAAAAAGCTGGGCTGATAATCCCTGGCCTAGGGAGGCAAACGTGATGTGCTAATCGTGCCATCTGACAAGCATTCGGATGTATTCAGCTTGGCTGAACCTCTGGCTGCAGACACACCACGGGCAGGCATTCGGAGCGCCCGTAGGGATGCAGCTCCTAAGCAGAGCAGTGCTCCCCTGTGGCTCCTGCGTTTGGATTTATATGAAACCGTGGATATTTGTGCACGGATGCCCCATCAAGCACCACCAACCGGGCCAGGAGTGCTTCTCTGAGCCCCAGCTGGTTCGTTTCTGAGTGAGAAATACAGAGCCTGATTATGCCAGCGTGTAATAAGTATATTCCAGAGCAGGGAAAAGAGTGGCCAAGCAGGATTAGACAATGTCTCCCTTCACTAATCAGCTCACTCCTGCACCCTGGGATTAGGTTCTCTGC